CAGTAGCTACAAAACAGAACAATAGTCTTTGAAATAATCACCCATTGGTTAATAATAAGAATGCTCCAGTTCAAGCTCAAAAAAATGAAAATGAACCACTATTCCTCCCTGCTGATAAATCTGAAAGGCCTGCTAATTCTACTCGATCTAAAAAAAGATATGTTGAAGATTCGACTTTCCAAGACCTTCTCGAAGAAGAAAGGACTAGTGATTGAGAAGAGATCTGGGATGGTAATAAGGAACCCAAGAGAAAAGTTGCTGTAGCCTCTAATACAGGTCAAACTTCAAAATATTGGACAACCTATTAGCTATCTGATATTTCTATAAGTTATATTTTGTTAAGATATCATCAAGAAATATAGGTCACCTATATTCTGCCAAAATCTGACTAATAATTTAGTTTTCAAATATATATTACAAAAATAACTTATTCACACGGGTAAATAAGTTTTCGAGGTTGTTACATAAGACCCGTACAATAAAGAATTAAGACCAGTTATGAGATATTAAATTAAACTTTGTTATATTATGAAATATATTAAATTTCATTATTATCAAATTATGCAAGACTTTATAAAACATGATGATTCAAATTGACAGGTAACATATATATAAACAATAATTGTTGATCTTTGATAATGATTTTTTTTTTAACTTTGTTATTTTCATATGAAATTAGGCTTTTGGTTTCGGTTACTATTTATTATATTATTTATTTTTTACCAACCTTTTTTTTTTAAAAAACACTTTTAACTGCCACCTACTCTTTCTTTCCAGGTGGTTTTGAATTTTCTCTTCATCACTTCTTCGTCCGGAATTATATTTCAAGCTTTAGATAGTTACTATATATTGTATCAATTTCTCGACTACATTTAACTACCTTTTTTTTCTTTCCAAGTGGGTTTCGGGTTTTTTCTTCATCACTTTTTTGTCCAGAATTATGTTTCAAGCTTTGTGTGGCTTCTATATATTGTGTCAATTTCTTTACCACGTATTACTACCACCTTTTCTCTTTCTTTCCAGATAGGTTTCAGGTTTTCTCTTCATCACTTCTTCGTCCGTAATTATATTTCAAGTTTGGGTGGCTTCTATATATTGTGTTAATTTTTTGACTATATTTAACTACCACCTTCTCTTTCTTTCCAGGTGGGTTTTGGGTTTTCTCTTCATTGCTTCTTCGTCTGGAATTATATTTCAAGTTTTGGGTGGCTACTATATATTGTGTCAATTTCTCAACCATGTTTAACTACCACCTTCTCTTTCTTTCCAGATAGGTTTCGGGTTTTCTCTTCATCACTACTTTATCTGGAATTATGTTTAAAGCTTTGGGTAGCTTCTATATATTTTGTGTTAATTTCTCTACCACGTATTACTACCACCTTCTCTCTTTCTTTCCAGGTGGGTTGCTTCTATATATTGTGTCAATTTCTCTA